AATCGTCTGTGAAAAACTGTTTCTTTTTGGTTTTGTTTTGCTTAATTTCTTTCATACATCGTTCTAACTTTATTATAGTATTTGAATAGAACATGTGGCAACGATTAGATAATTGATATATATTGATATACATTTTGTGCATTCTGAGTTATAATATGAACGAAATATAATACTGTTAAGTTAACCTAGCGCCAGAGTGTCGCTATGGTAAGCAAATATAGTGAATTTTAAAGAGTACGTTTATTCTATTGTGGTTTATTCGCTGTTGGCGAAGTAGATTTAATTCAATCCAATACGTTTAAATGAAATACAAGAAAAAAAATGCGTATAATTTAATATTCCGTACAAGGAAGTCATGTGGTGTACACATTAGATTTTTTTATTTTGGAAAACCTTGACTCCAGTTTATTATGGCGACAAAGCGTTATTTATCAGAGGAAAGATATACTCGCATAGTAAATAAGCCAGTTAATGACTTGGATGAGAGCGATGATTCATTTTCTAAAGTGATATTTCTAGTGATTCTGATAGGGTAATTTATCCAGAGATTCAACTAGTAAAGTGCCTTCTTTCCACTTTATGTGAAAGATTTCGTTACTTCTTCTTCTAAATAGTGTTTATACTAATTTAAAAAAATTAATTTTGAAGTTTATTAATGTGTTTCGTCAATTAAAACTTTTCAATAATTTGAATAGCTCATTCGAAAAATAATTTTAAAATAAGCAGTTTTTTTCATATATTTTCATGTAAAGTAAAGAAAAAAGACTACACGGAACACATGTAATCTAACCTCTAATTTTAAGATAAACTATAGCTTAAGTAATGATCTAAAATGATACCAAAAATTATGATGTTACGACGTAAACCTTTACTTTAATGTTTTTGTCATTTTTTATATATAAAGTTATATATTTTATATATAAAGTTAGGCTTAGTGATGCAAAACCCGTCCTGTGGGAGCATTCTTTTCGACTCTCCTCCGTACAGAGGGAACGTCTTAAACAAAGATACGCCGTCTCTACAGAGTTAAGTAACATGAAGATGATACGTACTTGAGCTACTTAAATTTAAATTCAGCCCTATGTCTTACAGCCTCTCTTTTAAAATTTTAATATGTTTTCAGTAATAAAAATCAGAAAATAATAAAGTCGTGAAAAGAACTTTCAAAACCATAATCCAGCTCTAACACTATTAAGAACGTTAAATCCATGTATTTAAACTAATAAACCAATACTTTGCAGGATACATTTTTGTAAAAACAATGATATAAAAATGTAATGAAATGCAGTGTCTGTTGTAAGGACAATAAGCTACAGTTAAAAGATTTTGGTGAAAAATACAGTAGGTGAATGCCTAAAAATGAATAAAAATGATTTAAAAAATATATAAAAAGAAAAAATAATAAATAAACTATTGTATTGTAGCTAATTGAAGAAATTCAGATAACACTCAACAGGAGTCATTTATCTGAAGTTTTTCCACCAGCTAATGTCGAGAAATTTTCAAAAAGCGTTTTTGTCCATCTTGGTGCCTAAAATTCACTCTTTATTTATTTTAATTATACGTGCTTTTAAAAATCAAGAATGACACACCACGTGTTTTAGTCTGAATAATAATTGTAACTATTTCCAGATTGAAAGCTGTAAGCCGTACGAGTCGTATGACAAAAATTATGAAATCAACAACGGCTAAAAATGGTAAAAAAACTATAAAAATTTCTTAAAAACTTTAAAACAGGAAGAACAACCCAACATATCATCTTTCTTTCTTAAGGAAAAATTGTCTTTAGATGGTTTCTAAGAATGGAAATAAGGTTGTTTGTGTAATGTACTATTAAGTTTCCCAATTGGCGAAACGATTCGTCGCCTAAATCTTTAGAGAAATAATTTTTCTGGTGCATGCTAAAAAATTGTTGCAAATTGCGGAACTTAAAATTGTTACTATAAAACCTTGTTGAGAAGTTTTTTTAAAAAAATAAAATAGAATATGAAACAATTTCAAACTTCATGGCTGTTGAAGTGTCTAACATAAACGAAATTGGATCAGATGGCCAACTAAAGAACTCTGCTAAACATGCCCCATAGATACCAGTAAAACTTTGTATGGGTACTTATAGAATCCTATGGGCTTCTACTGACTTTTACTGATTTTTGTTGGCCTTTATTGGTTTTTCTTACTGACATTTAAATGCCCCATAGACACAAGCAAAACCTTCTACTGGCACTCAAAGAGTTTCTACTGATTTTTACTGGTTTCTATTGATCTCTCGGGGTTTTCTTACTGGTATAAACTAAAACCCATACAACCAAAGTCAATGTCAGAACTGGTTCGTATTGATTTATATTGACTTTTACTTGTTTTCTTACTAGTATCAATAGATGCTGATACCCATATAACCGAAATGGATGCCAAATAAATCTTCTGTTGGTTTATATGCGTTTATACGTATTTTCTAACTGATATTAATAGATCTCTTACAAAATATTCTATAAATACTGGTACCAGTAAACCAAAATTCATTGGTATTCTTGTTGACTACTGATTATTTTAAATTATTAGCCTAAAGGTGCTAAGCTCAGAAAAGCTATTAATTTCGTTTTGAAATTTTGCGTTGGTTTCCTATAAAATTCTGCATTACTTTTCAAATTGTTGCCACCAAATATTAGAGCTCTGTATTATATTTAAAGAAATTAAATAATGAAGAATCTGCATGAATGTATGTGTGTTTCTCGCATTGTGAAAAAACAACGGCACCTAGAGATATCAAATTTTGAATAACGTAGTTCCCCACTCGAATGCGGGCATCTGGAAGCCGTAATTTGGAGTTAGTTTTATTATCTATTTGATATTTCGTAAAAAACTAACGAATTTTTCTTAGGTTGGAAGCTACGACTCTTATGCAGAACGGCGCTCCACTCTATATTGCTGTAAGTGTGAAAGATCTCCTACACCCATCTTTTGGTGAGGATCGCGTGCTGAGCCGCTATTTTTGTCATCCTTGGCCTCTCTGGTCCCCATTAGGGATGTTAAAAGACAACATTCGATGGTAATTTCTCACTATACCTACAGCTATACTGTATAGTGCTGTTCATAACATTGTTCATCGACTACAGGTACTGTTGATGAATGACGGCGGACATGTTGAATATTTGTTATAAAGAACATATGCTTTGTTAAAAATCAGCTGTTAAGCTAATTATATCTTTTGTCATCATATAAAGCGTTATCTGTTGGTCGTTTTATGCACGTTTTTTGCTATCAATAATACCCCATGACATTTGAATCATCTGTGTTAGTTTTTACCTCTCTATCTACATTATTCAGTAATTATTGAATTTTCAAATGTTAACGGACTTTTAGATCAACCTATATATATATATTTATATATGTATGGGATTACCTTCAATAAATACACAGTAGAGCACGATTGAAGCATAACTAAATACTTTATTTTGCTAATATGAAATAAAAGATAAGTTGCAGGTGATGTCACAATTAGCGTGATTCCAAACAGGATTCGAATAATGAAGATCATTTTCATATACTATCAGTTTCTAACAGTTCTACGGGCACGTCTACCCTCATATGGCTAACTCGATATAAGCATTCCAGCTTGGAAACCGTCTATTTCCAACAACTCTTGGAGGAACTGCCTCTGCGCGTCTTGTTCTCAGCACTTCCAGCGGTCGTCTGCCGCTCTGCAAGCTGCGCTAAGCTGTGATGACGTCACGCTTTGCTGAGTAGAAGTAGAAGTAGTCGAAGAATCTACTTCCACACACATATATTATTATTATTATTATTATACGTGTTATTACCATTAACCAGCCCCAGCGTGATGATAAAATCGCATTACCTTCCGTTGGTTTAGATTATTATATAGACAACAGTTTCTCTGTTATTACAAACAGACTACTGATTGGCTATGTAACAAATAAAGAAAGGAAATAGAGTTAAGAATATTTAGCAGTATAAGAAAAAAATATCTTTCGAAAATATTTGCGTAAGATGAAATTTCGCAATTAATGAGAATAATGTAAGGTAATGAAATGAACTATAGAACTGAAATTAAGATACTTTACCATGCTGCAGAATTCTTAACTTAATGCCGAAGTTGTCTTAATCAAGAAAGGTTAGAATTAAGCAACGTTTATTATGTAAGCCACGTTGCTTTTACAATGGGCTAATTAAGAAGAACCTTAGAAGTGATAAACCTTTATCCAGAATTAAAAAAAACTGGCTATCATTTATCTAAAAAGTGTTTAAAAAAATTACCGCAAAATAGTTGTCGAAGAAAAGATTGTTTGTCTCTTCTCTTTTTCCTGGAGAGGAGACTAACTAAGTGATTGGAATGTATTTAATGGAATAAATAAGTTATTCTTTAAAAGCGAAAATGAATTAGAAGTCTTATAACACGCAACGAGGAAATAAAAGTCACAAATGCTCCCAAAAGACAAACAAAAAGTTTTAAAATGTGCCGCCCAAAGGATTTAAGACGTAAGGACGAGGCTTTTAAGTAATGTGGTGTTAAAAAGCTGCTTTTAAGCAAACTGCTTAAGGCTCAGATAATTGGTGAGGCATTAAAAGTAAGCATACGGTAAATGATGCGGAAGGAAACAAACTAAAAGAAATGCAAGTTACAGATGTGTGACTATATTTGCAAAGTAAAGTTAGTAAACAAAAGCAAAATACAAATTTCAGATTTTATGTTCTGCTAATTCTTCATATTCTTCTTTCAGATTTTAACCCGAACAAACGTGTTTTTTTTTTGTTTTGTTTTCATTTACACACACACACGTTTCGAGGGCATTTGGGCTACGCACCAGTGGGATAAAAATATTTTAAAACAGCAGATCTTTAGAATTTCTAATAGACAGTCTCGCACGCTAGACATCAAAATGTTTTATTCCCTACGGTATTGCCACTGCTCGCTTTGAAATCGTCAAGTTTTTTAATTAAAAATTCGTTAAGGTTATAAGGTATTTCTCCCGCCTTCTTAGCATGCCTTCGTGGTGTAGTTAGCGGTCAGCACGCTCGACGTGTATTCGAGAGGTCCGTGGTTCGAGTCCCCGCGAGGGCATTGCTCAATTTTCAATATCTCTTGCTTCCAAAAAATACGTAATGTCTCTACAGTGGCGCCCGTGGTGAATGATGAATCTTCACCACCAGGATTTCGCGACTGGGTCTCCTAATTCCCAGTTGCTCTTTAAAAGGGGGAGAATGTAAGGCCTTCTTAGCATGCCTTCGTGGTGTAGTGGTCAGCATGCTCGACGCGAATTCGAGAGTTCCGAGTTCCGGCAAAGGCATTGCTTATTTTTAATATCTCCTGCTTCCAAAAATACCAAATGTCTGTACAAGGTTAATATAAAATAGATAATAAAACAAATTCCATATTCTAAATTCGGGCCTTCCAGGTACCCATGTTCGGGTGGAGGACTATGTTATTTAGAATTTGATGACTGTAGGTATTTTTGTTTTCTCACAATGCAAAAAACATACATACAATCATGTAGATTCTTCACTATTTAATTTCTTTAAATATAATACAGGGAATCATATTTGGTGGCAACAATTTAAAAAGTGATACAGCCGTTTATAGTGATTCAGCGTAAAATGCCGTTTCGAGACTAATAGCCCTTCTGGGCTAACGCGCATTTGGACTAAAAATTATTAATAATGCCCCAAAGAAAGGGCATAAAGCAAAAGTAAAAATAATAGGGGGCAAATAATAATATAATACAAAAGGACCTTAATTTAATTATGACGTACTTTACAGCGCTTTTTCTGACGTGAGCTTCACTCGGGTTACTAATTCAGTTATAATCTATTATTCCACTTACATTTAAAGGTAATGATCGCTTATATCGCAATAATTTCTTATAACAATTACTATGTTATAAGAAATTATTGCATTCCTCTAAGCAAGCTCTAATGGTATAAGTGCTAGTACTTCCATTTAGCAGCTGGAAGACCCATGGTGCGAATCTCGGCGAAGACATATTAAATTTTGCCTTTCTTTTCTCCCGAAATTCTAAATGTTTTTACAAAATATTGCTGCTTAACTCGCACATTCCCGTTATAGTAAAAGGACCCGTTATACCGCACATAACCCGTTATAGAACTAATTAATTATGGATTAGAATTTAAACAGTTATTTAAAAAATGGTAATATTAGATGATGAGGAGGAAGGATCACGATAAAAAAAATTGAAAGTCTCATAAGTCTCATAAAAGCTTACTCCCCTGCCATGTGTTTCAAACTACAAGGATACTAGTTTATAGGTTTATAAACTAGTAGCTTTATAGTTTCAGACACAGGAACTTTTCAAAAGATTTTTTCTTTAAACTGTGAAAAAACATGCTTACTTAAATCATGCAAAAATGATGTTATGTTTTTAGTTTCCAAAAATTATATGAAGAGCTTGACTGCATTTAAAGGAAATTATGTTTTTCTTGGAAGTAAGTGTTTATTTAACCTTTTTTTTTTTGCAATAAATATATTTCGACAGAATAAATTTCCAGCTCAAAATTTGACAATTTGTCTTTATGGGATCATTTCTGATTCGTCGGACACTACCACAGATTGCAATTAAAATTAGCTTTAAAAAATGAAATCTGCACCTTTTTATGACATCATATTCCACTGAAACACAGTGCGTAATATCGGAGAAGCTGATTTGAAATCACCGTAACAAATCGAAACCTCTATTCCAAGTTGTTGTTTAATATTCGTGAAGTATTCAAGACACTTCATCAGTGTTCATACCTAAATTCTGTTGAATGAATTTGACGAGAAATGGAAAATAATGAGTCAGAAATAGTTTCTTTAAAATAATAGTTTTTATTTTAAGTTTTTTTTTATAATAGTTTAAATTTTAAGTATTTTTTTATTTTTATTTTATAGAATATTCAGTATTCGATCAAGTTTGAGATATGATTTCCATCCAGAAATTAAAACAATTATTTTTATGCTCATAAGCATTTAACGTATAACAGAAACTGAATAAACGTATGCATATGAAAACCAGTACTTTTGCTTCTGTCTAATATACGTATTTAAATGTTTTAATGTTATTCTTAAAAATCAAAAGTGTAAGGTCACTTTTGTACATGAGACTAAAAAAGAATTATAAAGATTATAATAAGCGTACACACCTGAAATGCAACAGAACAATCATAAGCGTTTCATTTCTCGTTTTGTATAATAAAACTAAATCTTTGCTTTTTAATTAAAACCCCCCAAAAGAAAGAAGTGTATATACGTTATAGATCTGCTTATTGCCACATAGAGTTATTTTATTATAATGCAAACCATAACACTGTAAAAACCGTTAAGTATTTTGCTTTGCAACAGATGAAGTGCATTTTCTCTTTCCCGGATTTGATCTTCCGACCTTCCGATGACAGTTGGACATACTTTCCTATTACGCCACAAAGGTACGAGGTAAGGAGAAGGAAAATACCTTACATTCTCCTCCACGTAAAGATCGGCCAGGGAAGAAGGGACCCAGTCTCCAAGTCCTGGTGTTAACGAATTATCTTCCATTACCTTTTCAGTTGGAGGGCACTGTCAAGTCACTTCTAATTTTTCATAGCCGGTAAACATTAGAAACTTGCAATGCCCTCAGCAGGATTCGAAACCCAGAACTCCCTATTGCTAGCCAGACTTGCTTCCAGTTAGACTGCGAAGACATGTGGTAAGAAATGAGAAAGTTCCTTACATTCTGCTCCACTTAAAGGACGACTGGGGAGGAACTCAGTGGCCAAATCGTGGCAGTGAAGATTTACCGGCTATCGTATTTTAGTTCCAGTGCAACTGTAGAAAACATAAACCTTTTATTTCGGAGCACGAAAAGTGGAAATATGTAAAGCCTTCCCCCTGATTCAAATTCCTTACCTTCCGAGGCTAGCTGGATCTGCTTTCGAATTACACCACGAAGGCGTATGGTTAAGGAAAGAGAACATACCTTGCAATCTAATAGCAGTAGAGTTAAAAGGGGAATACGCAGCCAAGTTCCATAATATTACGTAGTTTAATAAGTGCATTTATTAATTAAACTTCCGGTATAAATGCTCATAAAATACTCTCGATATAAAAATAAATTTATGCTTGCCGATAGCAAAGAAGCCATTGCATGCAGAATGTTGTTAAAACAGCAGTCTTTTTAATAAATAATTTTGTGTCATTTTAAACTGCAAAATACCTTTAAGACTATACAGTTTTTGAAAGCTAATTTTGTAACTCTGCAATGCAGCGTATTGCTACAATTTGTGAGAAATGCTGAAGTTCTTCCGTTACGTAAACTGAGCCTAGGTCCTTTAGTTTAATCTGATAGAACTTTTTAAAAGTGCTGTAAACTAGAAACAGAAGAAACATTTTTTATAAATTTTATTTTACGGATTTCCTGTATTATGAACCTGATTTTACTCTGTTATGTGTTTCTTTTATGTGCTTTAGTATAAAAACTATATGCTTTTTATAATTTCTTTAGCAATTTTCCGAAATTTAAATGCATCATTTATGATTAGTATCAATGAAAAAATTCATTCTAAATTATCTCTTTTTTACCTGGATTAAGAAGTAATGCCTTTATTATTATACGCATACTCCTTCGCTGCTATGCTGCTACCGTTGATGATAAAACTTTTGAATGCAATGGCAATAGCAAAAGATAAATTTTCATGCGCTTTATATACCTACATATTTTATTCATAAAATTCTTCCCATAAAAACAAACTTTCAGTAATTTCATCTATGATCTTCATATACTTAAACAAGCAATCCATCATCTTACGTAAGAAAGCTTCCAAGACTCAACTTTCTTTCATTAATCGATAAGGTTAAACTTTTATATCCGTCACTAATCACCTCATCTAATTATTTCTTTAATCTCTTTATAATTTACTCTTCTTATCTTCGCGAGATATCTTCTTCTCTGTTTGTTAATGAATTTAGTATTTTTCTCCTTTACTCATTTTCTTGAGAAATGTTTGTTAGATGTCAATATATCATACTTCTCATTAAGAGACTTTAGTATTATCTTTTTTATCTACTGTGATGTTTTTTAACTGTTTAATTACAGTTTTTACGTTATATTTAATTTCTGTCTATATTCTAAGTTGTATAGTCATAAACACTTTCACGCAGTGAAGAATTTTTATTCTTTTCACGTAATTAGGTCGTATCAGCTTTCTTGTGCAGTTCATGACGAAATGTTAACATAGATTAATCACTTATCATAGTCTGTTACTGTAATGACTTCGTAGTTTAATAAGGCACCATTTAGCAAGACGAAAAGAACATTTATTAAAAATATGGTTCAAAGCATAACAGTAACTCAGAGCAGTACGTTGCTCCTACCGCAGGGCAAAATCTAGAACCTTCCTCTTCCGAGGCTCACATCCTACTCTCAATAAATACATTAATCCTTCTTGGAGAAGAGCTACATGGACCAAGTACACTTTGTTGATCGCCAAACAATCGCCAGATATCACACCCCCGTCGTAAGATTGTTGTTGATAATATTTACAAATCAGTTATCAGTCTGGGAACTAAAATCTAGCAAGTGTTTGCGATCAATGAGAAAAAAAAAAACTACATATGCATTTATACATTCTACCCTAACTTTCAAATCTTAACTACTATAGACATTCGCAATGTAATACCTACAATTGCTCCTCAATTTACTATATAAACATATATAAACATAGATAACACATTTTTAACTTCACTTGTTCCGAACATTATTATTATTGTAACAATTTATCAATTCTTAACCCAAAGAAACCAAGTGGATATTTTTCTTTTATATACATGTTAAAATATACCCTAGTATTATTCCAATGATGACAGTAAAATTATTAAGCTTCTTATACATATATAAAATTCTATTCTTAACGTTCTCTGTAATTAATGATGCTGCAGCATGATTTATATCCTTGGGAGACAAATATCTAAATTTACCACTTACCTCGAATATTTGTTATCCAATAATTTTTCTATCTATTTCAAATTACATAAACATGTTATTTGCACAAAATTGTAAAACTATTAAGAAAAGGCAAAGGAAAACTATCTAA